TTTTTTTTTATGTATCGTTGGATTCTGTCTTCCTCTTTTTCACTCACCTACTGAGGAAGATTCTTAGAAGGATTGATGGAATGGTAAAAATCATTCTTGTTGTTATGTGCTCTTGACTCACCTGTAACTAACTCATAGCAACGCTGTGTACAATAGCCCTGAAGCCTACTCTATCTTGAGCCAGTGTCACTGACTCTGACACACCTACCCCTATGACCCTAATTACTGTGTCATTCTGGGATCTACATCTCATCTGGAAACTTCTTCTCCTGCACTGTCTCTCTACCCTTCCAAGCATTATGTCCTCCTCCAAGAGCTGGTCCCTCCTGGACACATGCCCAAAGTATATTAGATGGAGCTTTCAAATCCTTGCCTCCAAAGAGAAACTTGATTTCACTCTCTCCAAGATAGACTTGTTTCTTCTGTTGGTGGTCCATGGTATGTTCAATACTTTTCTTTAGCACCACTACTCAAAGGCACTGATTCATCAAAGGCCTGTTATTTTGGAAGTGGATGGACAATCTTTCTTCCAGGTCTGTCTTAATTTGGATGCCCAGCTTTGGAACAATATCTGACAGACAAGCAAAAATCCTTCTTACTTTAAAAAAAAAAATTATGCTCTAGCCACAGATTGTTTTAAGAAAACAACAGTAAATACACTAAATGCTTGTCCAATTCTGTAGGAAAGTCAATATAGTAAGATCCTTTTTTCTACCATCCTATTTTTTCTTCCTTCTAGGAATTTTCATTAGAGAAAGCCATGCATACAATGATGGGAACTTGGGATGATATTTCTTTTCACATAAGTCTGTATCGTGACACTGGCGTCTATATTCTTTCATCGGTGGATGAGATTCAGACTATCCTTGATGATCAGATTATAAAAACTCAGACAATGAGAGGCTCACCTTTCATCAAACCATTTGAGAAAGAGATGAAGGTATATTAATTATGGTATTGAACTCTTGGTCTTTATAAAAGTTGTAGTCTTGATACATTTATGTAAAAAAGTCAGTTTTATGGATGAACTTTTAAAAATGTTTATTTAAATCTTGAATTTTTCCGCATTGGTGCAATACTATAACAGATACAAAAAATTAATGTAGAAATTAATATACACTAATGATTTTGAAAAGAAAAATATTTTTTATTAATATAATTTTTCTTCAATAGCAGTGATAGACTTGGAAAAGAAATGTTTTTTGTATGATTTATTCTAACCTCAGAAAGCCTAGACCCTGTTTTATTACTATATTCTTTGATTTATAGAGAAGTTTTTTATACTGTGTTTTATGAAGAACTAGCTTGAGCGTATTTCAGAGTGATTAATGCATTATCACCCACTTGAGAAAATATGATAGTAGCAAGCCCCAATATTATTTAATATCTTTATAATTAATGTGGAAAAATATAGAAAACATAAATAATAACAACGACTTCAGAGTGTCACTTCTCTCATTATGTGCCAGTTACTGCTCTAGAGGATTACACTTCTGAATCCATTTACTCTTCTGGCCCATCTTTAAGGAAATCACTTTGACCGTCAGTCTTCACATTTAAGAAAACCAAGCCAGAGGATGACAGAGTCACTAGGTGCCCAAAACATGCTGAAAAATGAGGGAGTTTGGATTCAAACCAAGGCAACCTGGTTTTAATTTTAGCACAATTATAGAATTTAGATGCTATCATTTGAAGTAGAAGAAGAATAATGGTATTCTTCCAAAAGGATATAATGTTGGACCATTGCCTCTGAATCAAGTTGACCTAGCGGGTCCTGATACTATGTCTTTGCAGAATTGTCTAACATGTAGACGTTTCTAACTATTTTTTCTAACATGAGGAATTAAGAAAATAAATTCAAAAGCTTTGTTAGAATTTTTGACAAGAAAAATTGTAATGTCCAATTTTTTGACACATAGGACCTTAAGACCATATGTTTAAGAGTCAAAGATGAACATTATATGAAGGGTCTTTGGCTAATGATTTTTCTTATTGATCTTAGGGAACCTATGAAAAGAAGAAGCTTTACTCTTCTCAGATTGCTTCTTATCCTTGGCACTATTGACATTTTGGAACAAATAACTTTTTTGTTATAAGTTCTGTCCTGTACATATTAGGAAGTTCAGCAGCAACATTGCTGACCTTTATCCAGTAGATATTAATAGTACAATCCCTCAGTTATGACAATCCATAATAAAGTATCTACAGACATCACCACGTGTCCCCTGGGGTTGTGGGGGAAACGGTCCTCACGTTGATGTAGAACAGCATATATTTTAAGATGTTTTTTGATGTGTTAGAGACAGCTTCCGATGGTGAAGTAATTCTGAGAATTTAGAAAAAGGACAGACTTCCCTAGAGTTTTTCTAAACCTGTGTGAGGCACTCACACATGATCTTCAACTCTTTTGTATGGATTTAAATGCGACAGTCAATAGAAAATATTTTCCTTGCATGACTTACAGCTTTTCTCTAGCAACTAGATATTAGAAGCAGTATGTTTTTCATTAAGGCCTGGGAGGACCGTTTGATTCGAATACAAGAAACCATTGATGAGTGGCTAAAAGTACAAGCTCAGTGGCTTTACCTGGAGCCCATCTTTTGTTCTGAAGATATTATGCAACAGATGCCAGAAGAAGGGCGTCAGTTTCAGATGGTGGACAGACATTGGAAGGACATCATGAAGTTTTGTGCAAAAGATCCAAAGGTGAAATGTTGACAAAACTTCCTTTTTTCTTTGTTTTAGTTTTGGATAGTAAAGTAAGCATTTGACTTTTTAAATTTTGTTATGTCAAAGATAAGATCTGATCATTGTACATACATTGGAAAGTGCAGAAGATCTCAAAAAAAGGCATAACAAGACAATTTTGCTTTCAATTATTTTTAAAAATTTTTTGGTTTTTTTAATGAAAGTTTTTTCTTTTCAATTCTTTTTTCCCCCTGCCCCTTCCCCCTCCTCTTTTCAATTCTTAAGACAGTATTTATAATTCATATATATAATGGAATTCTATATAATTCATATATATGGTGGCTACCAAGCCAGAGACCTTCCTCTAGGTCGTATAGCCCTGGTATACAAGTTGCCGTACAGTGGTAACTTGTGGTTGCTGTGAGGCTGAACACTATGACACTGATGTGTCAAATGAGATAATGGTTGGCTACTCAGTGCGGACAGAGAGTGGGGTGGAGCTCCCTGATTAAAACACACTTGGAAGGAGGAGTGGCATCCACTTCCGTAATAGCTTGCCTCTGGAAACCCTATGAACCTGGAGAGAGGATGAAAGGCACCCAAGCGTCGAGGACTCTCCACTCTCCTTCATAGCGTCACTATGAGTCGCCTGCAACTCGACGGCACTTAACAACAACAACAACAACAACATATATAGTGGAAGTGTTTAAATGTGCATTTAATTCTTAATTTTTACTATAAACACCACTTATCAGTAATTCATATCAATTACTGGTAATATCAAGAAAATAAATGGTTAAAGATCAAAAGTAGGGTGAAAGCACATGAGAGAGTGGGGTTCCACCCAATTTTCTACTCAGCGTTCTTGGTTGTGTGTGACAAAGAACCCTTCTGTGCTCAGATCCTGGTGTGTCTCCTGGTGAGCACTTTGTTGAGTGGGATTCCAGTATCTAAAGATAGAATATGGTTTTTTTTCATATGTACAGTACACGTAGTAGATATATGTCAACTTTTAAAATCTAGTATTTCATAGAAGAAAATTTCGTTCCAATGCCAGATGAAAAACTAGCCATGCTGGCTTTACTGAGAATTAATCATTACTTGTTATGTACCATTGAGTTGTAACCCATTCAAAGCTGGCCCTTGGGTTTTCAGAGGCAGTAAATCCCATGGGAGGAGATTTCACATCTTTCTCCCACACTGAGATTTACTGTTGTTGCAAGGTGCCATTGAGTCAAGTATGACTCCTAGCAACCCCATGAAGAACAGATCTGAACCAGGACCTCTTCTCTGACATTCTTACAATCTCTGACATACTCTAGAGGCCCATTGCCACAGTCATTCTATCAACCAGGTGGGCTGATCCACCTGGTTGGGGGGGAGGTCTTCCCCTTTGCTGTTCCAGTACCTTTCCAAGCATGAGGTTCCTCTCCAGTGTATGGCCTCTCCTTGCAATATGCCCAAGATATGTGAGGTGAAGCTTCATCATCTTTGCCTCCAGGCAGCACTCTAGCTTCACCTTCTCCAAGACATATCTGTTGGTTCTTTTGGCAGTCCATGATCCCATGGACTCTTCTCCAACACTGCATTTCAAAAGGCAAGTCCTGATCCTTTTGGTATAAGCCCTGGTCTAAGAGTTAATAGTGCCCAGGAATTTAAGATATTTTCTAGACTTTTCCCCTGACATACTGACTTTAGAAAATCTATGAGGCGTGGTTTCCTTGTAGATTGACCCCCTGCTCCCTGTAAAAGGCCAGATTGTAAATAATTTTTTCCTTCTTTTTAAAAATAATTTTAATGAAAGTTTATAGAGACTTAGGGTTTCATTGTTGCACTTTTCTCCAACCCCCCCCCCACCCATTCACTCTTCTCTTTGAAAAGAAAAAGAAAAACTTTCTAATTGGTATGCAATCCTTCCCCCCAAATCAACTCCACTATGCAGACTTTCTCTGGGCTTCTGTAATGACAAGAATACCCATTCATATGTCCTTTTAAAACAGTTCTATCCCTCATATGTTTCAATGCAATATACACCATTCCTCCTCTCCTTTTCTGTCTTCCCTCAACCCCGATGTCAGTCCTGTTTTACAATAGTGGCCTTATGCAATATTTGTCCTTTTGTGATGGAGATATTTCACTCAGCAGAATATCCTTCAGAGTCATCCATTTTGCATAATATATCATGAGTTCCTTATTTTTTTCAGTGCTGCATAGTATTCCATTGTGTGAATATACCACAGCTTCTCTATCCATTCATTTGTTGATGGACACTTGGGTGTTTCCAGCTCTTTACTATTGCGAACAAAGCCACAATAAACATGGGTGTGCACATATCTGCTTGGGTAGCAGTTACGGTTTCTTTAGGGTAAATTCCCTGTAGTGTAATTGCTGGGCCAAATGGTATTTCTATTGGCAACTTTTTGAGAAAGTGCCATACTGCCTTCCACAGTGGTTGCACCATTTTATACTCCCACCAAAATGAATAAGGGTTCCATTTTCTCCACAACCTCGCCAGCATTTGATGTTTGTTGTTCTGTTAAATTTTGCTATTCTTACTGGGGTGAGATGATATCTCATAGTTGTTTTGATTTGCATCTCTCTTATAGCTAGGGATTTTGAACATTTCTTCATGTGCTTGTCTGCCATCTGAATGTCTTTTTTTTGTGAAGTGTCTTTTCATCCTGTACCCATTTTTCAATTGGGTCATTTACTTTTTTTTGGGGGGGGTCATTTACTTTTATCTTATTGTGGTGCTCGGGTATTTTATAAATTCTAGATATAAGTCCCTTGTCAGGCATGTCATTACCAAATATTTTTTCCTAATCTGTGGCTTCCCATTTTTCTCTGTTGGAGAAGTTTTTGAATGTGCACAGGGATTTAATTTTTAGAAGGTCCCATTTATCTATTTTATCCTCTCCTGGTTGTATAGTACATATTTTAGTCATTGTGAGACACAGTCTTTGTTGCAACTATTCACCTGTGCTGTCCCTCACTCTTGTGTTGATTCTGAGGCATGTGACTACACTGACTTTCCAAGGCTGTACAAATCTAAGCTGGAAGAGTCTAACCCACCCTCCTCCCAAGGAGCTGCTGGTGAATTTGAGCCACCAGAGATGGTCAGCCTTTTGGTAACAAATGTGTATTGCTGTGTTCTAGTAAAACTTTGCTTATGAATGCCAAGACTTCTACATGTTCTGAAGTATTATGTTTATTTGTTCAACCTTTTAAATGTATAAAATACAGTATTTGTCTTTTTGTGATTGAGATCTAAGACTGACATGAGTGATGGGGTAGAACAGGAAAAGAGTGTAGAGAGAACAAACATTGAACAGGGATAGATGAGGAGAAGGACTTTCTGAAAGGAATATATGATTAGGCCTTCTAATATGACCATTAACTATCTGTAACAAGAGGTGCATTACAAAGTGGTATTGGGAGGGGGAGAGAGGGAAATGTGCAACAATGGAAGAATGAAAATCCAACTTTCCTATAAATTTCTGTTTAAATCACAACAAAAATTTTTTTATAAAAGTGTGTAAAATAAATTTTTAGTTTCCAGGCTGTACAAATATATACAATAGACTTGATTTAGCTGTTGGACTTTGCCAACATCTGCTATAGTTTATAAGTGATGATTGTAAAAATAAAAATTAAACCATATACTAACCTACTGTTTCCTACATTGTTTATAATAATATAGGATAAAAGAAATATAAATATATTTATAATTTACTGAATTTTAATAGTTTTTAAGAAAATATGATTTTATTGAAACTTCACTAAATAAATTTTTATTTGCTAAAAAATATTTTTCATTACTAAAATAAATACATGATTTTACTCCCAAGTAATTTACTAAAATTTTCATAAGCTTTTTAGTAGTTTTCAAATTTTTCACATTTTCTTATTATAAACCATCAAGTTGGAACTGACCCATAGCTGACCCTCCAGCAGGTTTTTCAGAAGCAGTAAATCTCATGGGAGGAGATTGCCTATCTTCCTTTCCCAGCATGGTTGGTGGATTTGAACCACATGTTTTTGGGTTGACAGTGCACCGTCTTACCACTAAGTCACCTGAGCTCTCCTTTCAACATATTAGTGTAGATTAATGTATAGGTCTTAATTACAAATTTATCTTGCATATATGTGCTGACTCAACCAAACATGTTTCTTGCAGGTTCTTGCTGCTACTTCATTAACAGGCTTATTGGAAAAACTGCAGAACTGCAATGATCTTTTGGAGAAAATTATGAAAGGGCTTAATGCGTATCTTGAAAAAAAACGACTTTTCTTCCCTCGGTATGGTGGATGATCAATTATACTAAAATTATGTGCAATTTCTGATGTGTAATGAATTATGACTAAAACTTTTGCCTTTGCATGTCTTCCTCTAGCTTTTTCTTCTTATCTAACGATGAAATGTTAGAGATTTTGTCTGAGACCAAAGATCCACTTAGAGTGCAGCCTCACTTGAAAAAGTGCTTTGAGGGCATTGCCAAACTGGAGTTCCTCCCCAACCTGGACATTAAGGCCATGTATAGCTCCGAAGGCGAGCGAGTGGAGCTGATTGAGCTCATTTCCACGTCTGCAGCGCGGGGTGCTGTGGAAAAGTGGCTCATTCAAGTGGAAGACCTGATGCTTCGGAGCATTCGTGATGTGATTGCTGTGGCCAGGCTGGTGTGTTTCTTGGGATTTTTATGTATACACTGCATTCTCTAAAATCCCTCTCTTAGGAGATCTTGAACAAACTCTGTTACTTTATTTTTTCAAATATTAATATAACAGTATTAGTAAGAATTAGTCATAACATGTAATTATTGTTGTTGTTGTGTGCTGCTGAGCCTGAACTGACCCATAGCTGACCCTGCAGCAGGTTTTCAGAGGCTGTACATCACATGGGACGGGATTGCCTGCCTTCTCCTGTGGAGCAGCTGGTGGATTCAAAGCATGTGCCTTTGGGATTGTATGCAGTCATCACTAGTCACCAGAGCTCCCTTAACATGTAATTAAGTTCTTTAAAAGTAAAAGATGCTATGAGAAAAAAGAAATAAGGATGATATAATTTTGACTAAGGAATCCTTTTGGCATATTGTGTAACATACCCAGCTGGTAATTAAAAAGTCAGCAGTTAAAATCCACCAGCCCTTGAAAAAAGATAGGAAGGCTTCTTCCATGTCAGAAACCCAGTGGAAGTTCACTATGAGTTGGACTTGACCTGATGGCAGTGGGTTTGGTTTGCTTTAGATTGGAGTAGTGTCAATGATAGATAGATTGTCTGAGGAGGTGACTTAGAAACTGAGGTGTAACTGACTATGAAAATTGCAATTAAGAAGAACACTTAGTATCCTGAATTAAGGCCCTAGGGTCAAAAAGAATCAACTGCTGTGTCAGAACTTCTAAAAAGATACTGTGTTTGGAGTAAAATTTACAAAGTAGAGAACAAATTTAGATGAGGTTAGAAAGGAAAGCAGCTTTAGAATTATTATTTTATTTTAAATAAAATGGGAAGACATGAAAGAAGTTAGTCAAAGGAGGGCTAAAGGCACAAAGAATGCATTAGTGGGAGAGACAGGAGTGAGAACAAAATGGAGAATTTGTAGAAATCCCTTTAACCTTGAGGAAGTCTGGTGGCAAAGTCCCTAGAGTATAATGTGGTTAGCTCAAAGGCTGAGGATGAGAAAGGTCTCAGGAATCGTTTTAAGTTTCTAATTAGAACATATGAATGTTCTTTAGTTTGAAGGAATGCCTAGAGAAAGGAGTAGGTTTGTAGTGGCTCAGGGGAGGTTAAGAGTTTCTTTTTTTAAATAGATTAAAATAGAAATGCATCTGAGATAGCCTAGTGAATATGTCTAGTAGAAAAACAAGCGTACTCAGGAAAGATTCATCAACAACCAGCGTTATGTGGTGACACAGTCTTCTCCCTGAAGGTGATGATGACTTAAACCACTTGCTGCAGAAAGTCAGACTACAGCCTTCAATATGGATTGCATCTTAACATTAAAAAAATAAAAATTCTCACCTCTGGACCAATAGACAACATCAAGATGGATGGAGAAAATATTGACGTCAACAATTTAATTTTATTTGGATCTACAATCAACACTCATGGAGAAATCAAAAGATGTGTTGCACTGGGGGAAAATCTGCTGTTCAAAGTGATCTTTAAAGTACTGAAGAGCAAGGATGCAAGGATGTCAGTTTTAAAGACTAAGGTATGCCTGACCCAAGCCATGGTGTTTTCAGCTGCTCTCTGTACATCTGAAAGTTGGACAATGACTAAGGATAACACAATAAGAATTTGAACTGTGGTGTTGGCAAAGAGTTTTGAATATACCATGGACTACCAGAAAAGCAAACAATTTTGTCTTGAAGGGTGTTCAACTAGAGTGCCTCTTAGAGGCATGGATGGTGATATTTCTTCTAACTTACTTTGGTAATATTCACAGGAAGAATCTGTTCTTGGAGAGAAGCATCATGCTGGGAAGGTCAGCGAAATAACGGAAGACTCTCCATAAGATGTACTGACATGGTGACCACCAGTGGCTACCACAATGGGCTTGAACATGGCAGAGATCGTAAGGATGGAGCAGGATAGGGAAAGGTTCAGATATTTGTTGTTAATAGGCTCACTGTGAGTAGTAGTCAACTCCAGGGCACCTAACAAGAATGAAATAATTTCTCATGAATGTACAATATTCTAGCCTATCAATGCATTAAGTAATATACCTTCTTATATTTTGTACATTTAAGATTTTTGTGTTTTCATATTTTTAAAGTTAGAAATGCATTTTAATTATTCAGGCTTATCCAGAATCTGCAAGACAAGACTGGGTTCGAGAGTGGCCTGGCCAAGTTGTACTTTGTGTTTCTCAAATGTTCTGGACTTCTGAGACACAGGAAGTTATACGTTTTGGAACAGAGGTCAAGTATTATTTTTTTCCCCATCCGATTTTTTAAAGTTAGTCTATTTGTTATTTTAAAAAATGATACTTCTTCAATTTCTATACAGTTTTAAAATGACACAGCTCTTGGAGAATATATTCTTAATATTTTACTAGACTTAAACAAAATCACTCTATTCTAGAATATTTGAGCTCAGACTATGAAGTAAGAATTGTTTTGTCCCAGAAAAGTATATGAAATGCATGTTGTATGTTTTATGTAAGGAGTTCTGATGACCTAATTAATGGTAAGGAGTTGTGTTGCCAATCCAAAGGCACACAGTTTGAATCCACCAAATGCTCTGTGGAAGAAAGATGGGCAGTCTTTTCCCTTGTAATTTACTGCCTCTGAAAACCTGCTGAGGGCCAATTATGAGTTATTTACTGAAGAGCAATAATATCAGTCTGTAGAGTAAGGTGATACAGGCCATGGTCTTTGCAATCATTTGCTATGCATCAGAAAGCTGGACAATGATTAGAGATGAGAGAATAGATGCCTTTGAGTTGTGGTGCTGGAGAAGAATGTTGTATATACCGTTATCTGCTAGGAGAAAAAACAGGTTCATATTCCAGAGGGTGAAGCCAGGCTACCCCTTGGAGGCAAGGATTCTGAAGCTTCATCTGACATACTTTGGGCATGTTGCAAGAAGGGACCAGTCCCTGGAGAGGTACATCATGCTTGGGAGGGTGGAGGGACAGCTCAAGAGAGGAAGACCCTGGATGAGATGGATTGACTCGATGACTGGAGTAATAGGGGTGGTTGTTTTAGAGATGATGAGATTGGCTTAGAAGAGAGCAAGATTCAGAGCTGTTGTATATAGGGTAGCTCTGAGTTGTACGTGACTTGACAGCACTTAACCACAACAACTACCACCATCTCAAAGGTAAGCAACAACATGTTCTCCATGACATCAATGTGATTGTTTTTTTTTTAAATTAATTTCATTAATTTCAGTGAAAATTTACAGAGACTTTGGATTTCCATTCATTAATTGTTGCACTTTTCTCCCCTCCCAACCCTCCTGCCCCCTAGTACACTACCCTCTTGGAAAAGTAAAAGGATTGCTTTACAATCATTCTCCCCAGGTCCACTCCACTATGCAGCCTTCGCTCTGGACTCCCATCATGACAAAAATACCTAATCACATATCCCTTTTAAACAGTTTTCTCCCTCACCTGTTTCAATGCAGTATACATTATTGAACCTATCTTTCTGAGTCTTCCCCTAACCCCGACGTCAGTCCTGTTTTACAACAGTGGCACCGTGCAGTATTTGTCCTTTTGTGACTAAGATACTTCACTCAGTATAATGTCCTCCAGGGTCACCCATTTTGAATAATATTACATGAGTTCCTTGTTTTTTTCAAAGCAGCATAGTATTCCATTGTGTGAATATACCACAGTTTCTCTATCCATTCGTTTGTTGGTGAGCACAAAGGTTGTTTCCAACTCCTTGCTATTGTGAACAAAGCCATGATAAACATGGGTGTGCATATATCTGCTTGGATGTCAGTTATGGTCTCTTTGGGGTATATTCCCAGTAGTGGAAATGCTGGGTCAAATGGTATCTCTATTTGTAACTTTTTGAGAAAGTGTGCCATACTACCTTCCATAGTGGTTGCACCATTTTACACTCCCACTGACAGTGAATAAGGGTTCCGGTTTGTCCACAACCTCGCCAGCATTTGTTGTTTGCTGTTCTGTTAAATTTTGCTATTCTGACTGGCGTGAGATGATAGCTCATAGTTGTTTTGACTCTCTTTTCTTTTTTTTAGGGTTTAAGGAAATACCATAAGGAACTTCAGAATCAACTTAATGATATTGTAGAACTGGTAAGAGGGAAATTGTCCAAGCAGACCAGGACTACTCTGGGGGCTTTGGTCACAATTGATGTCCATGCCAGAGATGTTGTCTTGGACATGATTGAACTAGGTATGTGACATTTTTTCTTTAATATTAAAAGATAAAATAGCAGTAGTTTCTGGAATCAAAGATTTATACTTTTTTTCCCCTCATAATTTCTTTACATGATCTTTTCAAGTAAGTTGTGAAATAGGAATGATTTTAGTGTTTGCTGTTATGAAGAATTGGGAGCTTATTTTGGATGACCTCTTTATGTGTGCAGGTTTGAGAACTGGTGGCGATTGCCTCTAATGGTTCAGTGAGTTTTCTCTCCAGGCCACTTTAGTCCCTTACTGCCTCTTTCCCATGCAACCTTTCCATAGTAAGTAAGCTTCTCTTGCTCTTCCGTTCTTTTGTGCCTGGTAATTTGAGTGTTTACTCTAGGCCATCACTTAACTGTTCCATATTCATTAATTTGTTATTCTCAGGAAGACACTGGAAGGTATGTGATAGTATCCCAGGTTGTACAAGGGAGGGAACTGAGATTGGCCTGTATGAGCAAAGTGTTATGGTTAAGACCCGAGTCTGTGTGGTCCCAAAGCTGGTGCTTTCTAGAAAAATAGTAATTACCACTTTTGAGGAAGTTGTCAATGATTTCATCATGCTTCTATCCACATTCAACTCCCTCAGTACCAGCAATCAAGAAGTCAGACGACTTGTTGCACAGAGAAAATCTGCTGTCCAGGACCTCTCCAAAGTGCTAAAGAGCAATGATGTTAGTTTAAAGACTAAGGTGCACCTGATTTAAACCATGGTCTTTTCAGTCACTTGCTATGTGCCTGAAAGTTGGACAGTGAATAAGAATGACAAAAGAAGAGTTGTGATGTTGGAGAAGAGTACTGAATATCCCATGGACTGGCGAGAAGTCAAGCAAGCAAATGTATCTTAGAGAAAGTCAATCAGACTGCTCATTGGAAGTCAGGAGGTGAAGCTTCACCTAACATTCTAGTTCTTGGAAAAAGACATCGTGTTTGGATAGGCAGATGGTCAGCAAAATAGAGGAAGACCTGCAGGCGGGGGATTAACGTGATGACTGTAACAGTGGGCTCAGGGATGTATGAGACATGAGAATGACACAGGATAGGGCAAGGTTTCGAGCTGTTGTTATTCATAGATTTGCTATGAGTCTCTCATGACTCGATAGCACCAAAACCAGTCACCATTTTAGAGAGCAATTCATGAGGAGTGAGAGACACGAGGGATCTCTGAAGTAAAAAGTTTTTTTTGTAGGAATATGCCATTGTTTTATTGTGTTCACATTTGGATTTTATATAGTTACAATAGGGGTAGTTGTTGGGACGTGAGCCTGAATCATGACTCATACCAGAATCTTACTAGAAACCATCATATTATTCACCAGCACTTCTGCTTGCAATTTAAAAACAGTTTCACTTAATGTGATTGATTAAGTAGCAATAACATTTCACCCCCAATCCTGGCCCTTGATTACATCATGATTACTTGTTGTAAATATTTAACGTGAGAAAATAGGAGGTGTATAAACAGCATTTTTGTATGCTAAAGGATAAAGTATGGTCTCCTGTACTATGCGTATGTTGTTAGGAGGGGCCAATCCTTGGAAAAGTGAAGGACTTGTTTATATTTGGAAAGGTGCAGGGTCAGAGAAGGAGAGGAAGCCCCTGAGGGAGGTGGTTTGATACAGGGACTGTAACAGTGGGCTTAAGCACATCAGAGATGGTGAGGCTGGCACAGAGTAAGGCAGGTTCAGGTCTGTTGTTCATAGGGTTGTTAGGAGTCATACTTGACTCTATAGCACCTACCAAAAACAACTAAGTATATTGTCTAAAAACATTTTTGTGATTGAGAATTAAGTTCACTTTTGAATGAAATAACACTTAATAAAGTTAATGAGAATTTACATAGCAGAACATACACTAGCTCAGTGATTTCTACTTATTCAGTTCAGTGATACTGATTACATTTACCTTCCTCAAGTTGTACATTTTTATAAGCTGTACAAATCTTGGAATTGTTTTTCTTCCATGAACATAAATTCTGCCATATAAATGACTTGCCTGTAAAGTTTGATCCCAAATTGATATATTTTTTTAAAGAAAATTTCAATTCTGAGGGTGGGGCAACACTTGCCACTTAGAGTACCTTCCATCTCCTGACACAATTAACATTACTATTCTTCCATAATATAGATTCCTGTGGAAAACTTGTCAGACGGTTTGCTAAAATCAGGAGAGGAATACTAAATCATGTCCAAATTAGTTACTTGGAAGCTCAGTTAATAGCTTTGGGACAGACCCATAGAATCTGGCCACAATCTTGCTAAATATCTTCAAATGACAGAACTCCTTAGTCCCTCGCTGCAGCTTCTGCCCGTATTAAACTGGGCTGGGTCCCATCTGTGACGCTTCCCCCCCTGGCCCCAAGTGGGTGCTAGTCATCAAAGTCTGGAATGTCGTCATAGAAGTATCCCTGGTAATCTGTGGATGAATGGTAGGCGATGCGCGAGCGGGATAGAATCCTGGCTGAAACACTAGGATGCCCATGATCAGGATGGGAACAGGCAGGGCTGCCTCCCCTTTGCTGATGTAGCCCGCCAGCAGGAGGGAGCAGATGATGATGAGAAAGGCGCAGATGGAAAACAGCACAGTGAGGAGGGTGAGGGCTTTGTAAGGCTCTTGGGTGGGCTTTTCTTAAACTGAAGGTCAATGTAGCCATCGTCTGAGGAGAGTCTCGAGTATTTCTCTTTACTACTGGGAATCCCAGTAGCCAGGTTGGTGCGAGATGGAATCATAACACGTTGACGGAGCTACAGTCGGAGGCCTGCCACCCGGCGAGAGACCCCAGGCTGATATCGCCCCACTTGGTGGCCGAGACCCCAGACTGATAAAAAGTACAATGATCTATAGATCTGGCGTGTCATGTTTATCACTGATTAGATGTGCCAATAACCGAGTTATTCAGTAAACAACTTGAATCTTGGGAAAAAAAAAAAGTACAATGATCAAGGCAGACTCTCCTAATCATTATGTGCGGACCACTAATGGAAAAGTTGACAGTTTGCTTGGACCCACCAGTGTTTCTGCGGGAGAAAGATGTGGCCCTCAGCGTCTGTAAAATTACTGCTGTTGAGTTGGAACCAACTCACGCTGGTTTTCAGGGTTCATACATGGCAAGTGAAGAGATTGTCCATTGTTCTTCTGCAGGGATTCGATTGGGTCAGTAGCATAACTCTCTACGACTGAACTTTGTGATTATAGCCGTTGCAAGTCTGGGGCTGCTGTGCAGAATGCAGCTGCGAGTTAGAACGCCTGGACTTTTGTGGGTGTTTTTGTTTTGATGTGAAGAGGACTTGGTTATCGTTAGGTTTAAAGAGACTCGAGAGAATGTTTAAGGTTTAAAGATAAAGATATCTCAGCACCAGACCAGCAGAGGCAATAGCCAGAGCAGCCCCTGCCTTCCACCCGCCTTCCTCCCGCTCTGGGGCCTCATTCCTCCTTCCTCATCCTTTTCCTCCTCTTCCTCCCCCCCCCTCGTCCCCCTCCCCATTCTCCTCCTCCCCCTCATCCTTTCCCTCCTCCTCATCCTTCTCCTCCTTCCCCCCTTCCCCGGGGTGGGGGTGGGGTGGGGGTGGGTGTGCAAGGCTGTTTTCCCAGCCCTCCTGCCCTTCCCACCCAATTAAAAAACAAAACAACAACAACAAAAGAACAAAACAGATATCTCAGCAATAATTCTAGTAGTTCATCCAGCCTCCATGATTCCAGAAATCTGGATTCTTGAAAATTTGAAGTTGTGTTCCACATTTTTTTCTCCTTTGGTCAGGATATCCCTATAATCCTAATGATTATATATCCCTATAATCCTAATATTCCTATAATCCTAAATTACATAATTTTATTTCTGATCAAAATGTGAAGCATTATTTTTAAGTTTTAAAAAATCAAGTTATAGGTATACTTAGGTGTTTAACTACACCTAAGTAAAAAAAAGTCTGTTTAAATCCACAATGATATCAGTGAATCTGATTCTTATTTTTAATTTGTATAAAGAGTTATATCAACATGCCCACAGTTTATATGGCTCAATGAACAAGTATTTTCCAAGTAACCGATGAATGTATGTTAGAAAATTACACAAGGTGAAAAGGTAAACTAAAGGGCAAGTGGATCAGGTCTTAACCTTTAAACCTTTTCAAGGGGTCACTATCAGTTTCTTCCTTGTGTAACTGGAGATGGTACCACATCCCATTGTGCTTCTGGACATTATAAATGAGTGAATATGGAATAGTTAAGTATTGTTTTCATGTAACAGTTAAAAAAAGGTGATTGATGGTGTTTTAGATTGCACATGCAGCTTTATGAAACTACTAATATCACAGAATATCCACACTTCCTGAAAAGCTATAAAACAATCTTCTCTTCTCCAATTACATATCTGCATGAGGCAAATTATTATTTTTTAAAATTTAAATTTATTATTAATTTCAGTAAAAATTTACAGAGACTTTGGATTTCCATTCATTCATTGTAGCATTTTTCTCCCCTCCCAACCCTTTCCCCTAGTACACTACCCTCTTGGAAAATAAAATTCTTTCATTGTTTAACAATCCCTCCCCCAGGTCCACTCCACCAGGTAGCCTTCGCTCTAGATTCCTGTCATGACAAAAATACATAATCACATATCCCTTTAAAACCGTTTTCTCCCTCATCTGTTTCAATGCAGTATACATTATTGAACCCATCTTTCTCAGTCTCACCCCAACCCCAATGTCAGTCCTGTTTTACAACAGTGGCACCATGCAGTATTTGTCCTTTTGTGACTGAGATGCTTCACTCAGCATAATGTCCTCCAGAGTCACCCATTTTGAATAATATTGCATGAGTTCCTTGTTTTTCAATGCAGCATAGTATTCCATTGTGTGAATATACCGCAGCTTCTCTATCCACTCGTTTGTTGATGGGCACATAGGTTGTTTCCAATTCCTTGCTATTGTGAACAAAGCCACAATAAACATGGGGTGTGCAGAGGCAAATTATTCTTTTTTTTTTTTTTTAATTTTGTGTGAGTGTACCGTCAAATTGGATCTGACTGGTACAGGAGGAGATTGTCCCTCCTTCCCCGACAGAGCATCTGGTGGATTCGAACCGTGTGCCTCTGGGATTGTAGTTGCAGCTCCTTGCCACTAGGCCACCAGAGCTCCCCTAGGCAAATTATTCTTAAGATTTTTCTTTAAAACATAACAAATAAAATTTGGAATAAGAAATTAAAATTTCTCAGTTTTCTTGTTAAGCCAGATTATAAAGACATTTTTGGAAAATGCAGTTCATATAAATTTTTACTTATGATAACAGAATGGGGTAGGTATAATTATTTTTAAGTGATATTTAAAACAAAATCCTTAGATTTTGTTTCTAATCTCACACAGAAACTCCTTGGAGTTTTAAGAAGGCCTAAAACCAAAAGGTTGAGAATTCTTTAGCTTGTAGAGTATTTGCCAGATGCAGGCTACATTTCTACATTTCATTGTTTCTTGTTGGAATTGTGAGACTTTTAACAGATGAGTAAATTAAACTCAGAGAGGTTAAAGATGAAACGGAACCAGAATTTATTCTTTCATTCCATTAACATTTGATGAATACCACCTGTGTGCTAGAAACTTGCTTTGGGTTAAAAAGAAATCCACCAAAGACCTACATACACTGAACATTTAAAAAAAATTCTAGCACATTAAAGCACAGACGTGTTTAAGTACAAATCCACTCTTTGAAATGGCTGCTGCTGTTTATTTATCTGAAAAGCTCCCTGGCGGTATAGGGCATTCATTACCTGTTGGGTTTCTAACAAAAAAGTCAGAGCTTCGAGTCCATCAGCCATTCTCTGGAACAATTAAGAGCAATCTCCTCCCACAAAGATTTACCGTCTTGAAAACCTTATAGACACGGGTCACAGTGAGTCAGAATCAATTCCACAGCAATGAGTTGGATTTGCTTTGAGTTACAGTTTATATAAGGAGTTCTACTGAGCTCTGTAGAGGGCGCTCTGGTGACCTAGTGGTAGGAAACTGCACTGTAATCCTGAAGGCATAAACTTCAAATCCACCAGCTGCTCCTCCGGAGGCGGATGGGCAGTCTCCTCCCGTGTGATTTACTGCCTCTGAAAACCCACCCAAGGGTCAGCTATGAGTCAGTTCTGATTCAACAGTACTCAACAACATTATAAAGAAATCGTCTATTTTTAAAAACCATTTTTAAAAATTCTTTTCAATGCCTTATGTTATTCTTTCCAGGTGTCTCATGTGATACAGATTTCCAGTGGCTTGCTCAGCTTCGATATTATTGGGAAAACGAGAACACTAGAGTCCGTATAATTAACTGCAGTGTGAAATATGCTTATGAGTATCTTGGTAACTCACCTCGACTCGTCATTACTCCACTAACTGATAGGTGTTACAGAACATTGGTATGTATTTCATTTACCTTACTCATAAAAAATTATTTTTTGGTACAATGTCATGTTTTCTTGCATATGAGTAGTTGGTGGTCTGTTCCACAGTCAGCACTTGGACTAATTTCACAGCTGATATTGCGCTTCTCCAGCAGTTCTTTGCACAGATGTAATCAATCTGATTCCTATGCATACCATCAGGTAAAATCCATGTGTATAACCTGCGTTTATGTTTCTTATAAAACGTATTTGCAATGAATAAGTTGTTGATTGTGCAAAATTCAATCATTCTATCTCCAGCTTCATTTCTATCACTGAGTCCATGTTTTCCAACTACTGATCCTTTTTTTCTATTCCAAACTTTTGCATTCCAGTCACCCATTATTATTAATGCATCTTGATTGCATGTTTGATTGATCTCTGACCGTAAAAGTTGGTAGAAATCTTCTATTTCCTCTTCTTTGCCTGTTAGGGATCTCTCCAAAGTACTGAAGAGCAGTGGTGTCACTCTGGAGAGTAAGGTGCACCTGATACAGACCGTGGTCTTTGCACTCATTTGCTATTCATCAGAGAGCTGGACAATGACTAGTGAGGATAGAAGGAGAATTGATGCCTTTGAGCTGTAGTGTTGAAATATTGAATATACCATGGATAGCTAAGAAAATGAACAGGTTCACCTTGGAGAGGGTTAAACCAGCCTGCTTCTTGGAGGCAAGGATTCTGAAAGTCCATCTGACATACTTTGGACATGTTACAAGGAGGGACCAGTCCTTGGAGAAAGATGTCACACTTGGAAGGGTGGAGGGACAGTGCAGGAGGGGAAGGACCTCTATGAGATGGATTGATTCAGTGCCTGGGGTAATCGGGATGGGTGTGTCAGAGACAGTGAGATTGGCATAGGATAGAGCAGGGTTTAGGGCTGTTGTACATAGGGTCGCTATGAGTCACAGACGACTCAATGGCACATAACAACAACATGTTTTCTTGTCTGAATTGATAGCTCTGGTGGCTTAGTAAGTGTATTGCGAACCCAAAGGAATACAGTTTGAATCCAGCAGGTGATGTGTCAGAGAAAGATTGGCAATCTCCTCTCATGTGATTTACTGCTTCTGAAAACCTGATGGAGTGTTAATTATTAGTATTAGTCCATTCTGAGTGGACAGTATACAACAATAATCCTGAATGATTTCCTTCTCTGTAATGACTAGATGTAGATGTTGTTTCCTAATCCAAAATGCCTTTAATGTAAAATTCTACCACTACCTATTTACTTCTGGGTACTCTTGTAGCTCTATATAGAGTTACTGCACCAAAAAGAATTAGAAGACACAGAAGAATTTTAAGAAACAACATATGATTAAGAGGCAACAGTGATGAAGGGGGAAGTTCAGACTGCTCTAAAGGACTTGGCAAAAAAGAAAGCCCCAGGAATTGATGGAATACCAATTGACATGTTTCAACAGACAGATGCTGCCCTGAACATGCTCCCACGTTGTGCCAAGAAATCTGGAGGACAGCTACCTGGCCAACTGACTGGAAGAGATCCATATTTTTTCTCATTCCAAAAAAGGATGACCCAACAGAGTATGGAAATTATAGTACACTATTATGCATATTACACTCAAGCAAAAATCCTCTGAAGATTATCCAGAAAAAACTGGAATAGTATATTGACAGAGAACTACCAGAAATAAAATCTGGGTTTAGAAGAGGCCATGACACTAGAACCGTTATTGCCAGTGTCATATGGATGTTGGCAGAAACAGAGTACCATAGGGATATCGATCTGTTTCATTGACTATGCAAAGGCATTTGATTGTTGTTCACAACAAATTGTGGTTAACCTTAAAGAGAATGAGAATCCCAGAACACTTGATTGTACTTCTGCAAAACCTATAGTAAGCGTTCCTCAGAACAGAGCAAGGAAACACTGCATGGTTCAAAATTAGGAAAGGAGTGTGTCAGGGATACATCCTGTCTTCACACCTTTTCAATCTATATGCAGAATAGATCATTTATTTGGTAAGCAAGACTTTATGAGGAGGAAGGTGGCATCAGGATTGGAGGAAGACTCATCAACAACCAGTGTTAAAGAGATGACACAACTTTGCTTGCTGTAACTGAGGAGGACCTTAAGCACTTGCTGCAGAAGGTTAAGGACTGTAGTTTTCAATATGGACTGATGCTTAATACCGAGAAGACAAAGATTCTCACCACTGAGCTAATTGGCAGCACCATGATGGATGGAGAAGAGATAGAGGTTGTTAACAGTTACAGCTTGCTCAGCTCCACAATCAACACTCTTGGCACCAGCAGTCTGAAAATCAAAAGATGAATTGCATTGCGTAAATCTGCTGTCCAGAGTACTGAGAAGCAACAATTTCAGTCTAGAGACTAAGTTGTGCCTGATCCAGCCCATGGTCTTTGCAATTATTTACTATGCATCAGAGAGCTGGAAAATGAGTAAAGAGGATAGAAGAATTGATGCTTTTGAGTTGTAGTGGTGGTGAAGAGTCTTGAACATACGACGGACCACCAAGAAAACAATTATGCCTTGGAGAGAGTGAAATCAAGTTTCTCTTTGGAGTCTAGGATTTTGAAGCTCTCTCTTACTTTGGGCATGGGGTCTCGAGGGACGTATCCTTGGAGGAGGACATCATGCTCAGAAGGGTGGAGAGACAGCACAGGAGAAGAAGACCCCACATGAGATGTATTGATACAGTGACTAGAGCAATGGGGATAGGTGTGTTGGAGTCAGTGAGGTTGGCTCAGGACAGGGCCAGCTTCAGAGCTACTGTTGTACAATAGGGTCACTATGAGTCGCAGGCAACTTGACAACACATACAACAACAAATTTTGTAGCATACAAGAGGGCTTGAAGTCTAACAGATGAAAATCATGAGCTGTTTCCCTTGGGGAAGTTTAGAAAAAGAAGATACTGGAATTTAAAAGGGAAAATAAGAGCTTCCTAAAGTGGTATAGAATCATGGGAGAAATTACAGGTATTTGAGAAAACTATGTTTGCACCGAAGTGGGTGCTACTGAATAGGAAGGGGAGACGTGACATGTAAGGGATGGTGTTGAGTGAGGGCTTGTCCTTGGAAAACTGTGGAAAATAGAGCAATCTTTGCAAATAGAGATTGCCAGATAAAATCCAGGACTCCCAGGTACATTTGAATTTCAGATAAATGATGAATCATTTTTTAGTTTTACTGTGTCCTAAATATTACACAGGACAATATCTGTTTGTTGTTTATCTAAAAACCCCCACCTTGTTTGTTGTTTATTTAGACTGGAAATTTAACTGAGCATCCTGTTTTTAGCGGTTGTAACATTGGACTTAGGGCCAGTAGATTGTGAGAATGGCTTAGGATCAGCAGGATTTTGTTCCGTACAGAGTGTTGCTGTGAGTTGGTGACTCAGCGGCACACAACCATTACCGTCACTTGTATTTTTCTTGCTCAATCTGGCAAATCTATTTGAGGATTAGAGAGGAACATTAAAAAAACCAAAACCCAAAACCCCAAGCTCACCTATACTCAATAAGTAAAATTTAAGTATGCTGGATTGAGTTATCTAGAAGCAGAGATGAAATGAGAGTTTTAAAGCAAATGGTTTACTAAGAGAAAGTTGTCAGTAAAAACCTTTAAGGAAGTGAGGAAAGTGAAATGGGACAGGAGAAAAGCTAAGTAAAGATGTGATTTCTGTATATAGCCTCAGCCTGACCTCACGGGGATTCTGGAGACTGAAGGCCGTTCTTAGGCGAGGAAGGCAACAGACACAGGTAAAGAGACTTCAGATGGGGCCCAAAAGGGATCTAGAATAAAATGTTTCACCAAACATCTTACTTTCTCAGGAAGCTGCTTGAGGAAGCTGTTTTGTAGTGATAAAAAAGTGCATGGAGAAAATTAATCTCAAATTTCTATGCTGTAACAGAGCTTCAAAATGGCTCTTTACAATTGAGTAATGGAAGAGGAGAAACCAGAACAGACTACTATTTGTAAAATGTGGATGAATCATAATGATAGCTAGAATGAGAAAAATTACTGGTCAGGCACACCTTACTCTCCAGATTGACATCGTTACTCTTCAGTACTTTGGAGAGGTCTCTGACAGCAGACTTTTCCAATGCAATTAGTCTTTTAATTTCCTGGATGCTGGTTCCAAGAGTGCTGATTGTGGAGCCAAGCAAACTAAAGCTGTTAACAATCTCAATCTCTTCACTATCTAGCATGAGACCATTATTATAGAACTAGTATAAGGATCCAAGGTGGGAGTAGGGGAGAAGCAGAGGGCTGAGCATGAGTGAGGAGGAGGGCATTAAGTATAGGGTCACATACTTTAATGGGGGGGGTGAAGAAATGGGAAAGATCCTTTGTGAAAAACAATGTATACAAACTTTGTAAATAAATATAAAATAATGTGTGTGTGTGTGTGTGTGTGTGTGTGTACCATCAAATTGGATCTGACTGGTACAGGAGGAGATCGTCCCTCCTTCTTCAGCAGAGCATCTGGTGGATTCGAACCGCATACCTCGGGATTGCAGTGCAGCTTCTTGTTACTAGGCCACCAGAGCTCCCTAAAAGAAAATTTTTTAAAAACCTAATAATTTCACTCATATCACAATAAAAAGTGGGGGAAAAGATGAGTTGAGTAAAAACAATGTGCATAATTAAAATTGTATTACAAAGTAGAAAGTAACACTATTACAAGAAGTATGCAGAAGAATGTTTTGGAAATTAGAAAATGAAAATCATGCAATAGTGGAAAGCAATAGGTGAACTGTTGTTATTTGCTGTGGAGTTGCCTGTGACTCTATCAACAATAATAGTGACCCTATCAACAATAATATGGATTGAGGCTCAATGTCAAGAAGACAAAGATTCTCACCACTGGACCAATTGGCAGCATCAGGATGGATGGTGAAGAGATTGAGATTGTACACAGCTTTAGTTTGCTTGGCTCCATAGTCAACAGTCTTGGCACCAGCAGCCAGGAAATTAAAAGGCGCATTT